CCCCCCCAAAGACTGCTCACAACAGCCCTCGAAATAACCTCCAACTTAGTTTCTTGTAGACAAACAAGGTCAGCCCTCCATCCCCTTAAGAGATTCCGAACGCCCAATCTTTTTCCAGCTTCATTAAGCCCCCTCACATTCTAACTAATAATTTTTGGGATCATCTAAACAATGCCTTACCTCTCCCCATGAGACCTCTTCTTGACTCGCCACCCCTGGCAGCATAATTAACCGAGCATTCAAGCCGCTTAAGCTCAAGGTCACCCTTTCTTCTTGTCTTACCTCCCGATGTACTCATCTCATGTCCCCTCCTGGCCTCCAATTCCTTAAATAATTGCAAAAGTGTATTTTCGTACCCATCACATGACACACCCACCATCTTGCTAAAATCCATAATATTTTGAAGAACCCAGTTTGACGGTTGCGATTTGATGTCAAGTGTACTAACTTTCGCCATCTCCCCCACATAGATGGGATCAATAAAATGTCCCTCTTCCTCCACCCGTACTACATCGCTGTCTGTGTCCTTCTCGACTCCACCAACCCACACCACCAACGCATTATCATTCCATGGCTCCCTCTCCTTCGGAGACTTAGCAGATCTCCTACAATAATTATTCTTAACCAATGAAGCTGAGCCTGTCCTGCCAAGTTGCTTCTCAATCACTGAGTTTGATCTTTCGACCAACGCGCCCTCACTCATGAAACAATTGGTTGCTTCTAAAACCTTTGAATCCAGAATCGTAGTCCCCGGCTCCCCTACTTTAGCCCCGAACTCCGTCTCTTGATGTACCTCAATCATTGAAACCAATTCACCCCTATTTGTTACCTCCAACCCTACCTTATCGCCATCACCAGATGAAATATCCACTTCAGTCCGCATCTGTGACTCGCCCTTAGATTCGTCCCCCACCTGCTCATCTTTGGTTTGGGTCCTTATAGGTGATAGCTCCTTAGAATCCAACTTCGCAGCTAATTCACCATTATCTAGAGACTCATCCAATCCCACCCCACACTTATGGCAGTAAGTGTTCCTGGACCCCACCATAGACCCACTATCCACAATCTTAATTAACTCATCTAACTCCCCTTTCAAAACCTGGATGCGAGCCCTCAGTACCGCATTAGAATCACTTCTCTCGTTATTCGCTATTCCCTTATGCAACAACACCCCTGGTTAGCGTTCTGCGATCCCCCAATGTTCGCCGTAACATCAGCATAGGTCCTCCCAAGTCAGCTCTTTTCTTCAGCTATACGGTGCTTGGTCTTATCATCGGCCACAAATGAATCCACAACTGCCTGAAACACACGTGAGACCGACATCCACCCCTCCATTCACTCCTTCTGACACCATCACGACTCCCTTTCAACGCCTCTCCCCATACTGTGCTATCATAAAAAAACCTACGACTGTTGGCACAGCGTTGAGCCAAGAAAGCTCGAGAAGACTCATCAAATTTGGGGACGAAATCCACAGTCTTACTAGTCACCTGTAGCTTATCCATCATATTTACCATCCAAACGGCGCCAAAACGGCCCATGCAAATAGCGTCCGAAAACTTCCATCCCCATTCTGAAAACTTAACAATACCTGAATCAGAGACAGACACCACAAACTCCTTCGCCTCAACTGTAAAACGTGAACTAAAAATCTTAGTCCCCGCTACACCAGTCTATCTCCCATAATTTCGTGCGAACGGGCCTGTTGATGGGGAAACCAGTGGTCTGGATGGTCTCCTCATGACACGAGGAATCTGTGCATGCCTAGGAGGTGGCGCGTGGGGCCCACACGTTGACAGGTCAGCGCGTGCTGCTCGTGCACAGTCCGTCGGGTAGGCGCGTGAGTTTGGGAGATGGCTGGAGGTGGCCAAATCAGAAAATGAGTCGGCTGTGCTAATCCTGTCTTCTCCATCCCTGAATGTTCGATCAAACTGTTCTCCACATGAATAGCGTCGCCGTGAGACTCCAGATGCTCGCCTTCCAGTTCGCCGTCTATTGCATCGTCAAAAGAGCCACCAATGAAACGCGTCAGTGATCCACTGCTAGGGTTTCCGGGAAAGAGGCTGAGATTTAGTGGCGTGAGGTTGGTAGGGTTAGGTTTCCTAGAGTGATTGCCGACTGCGGCGGCGGCGGAGTTGATCTGACCGGAGAGGTTGGGTGGTGGATTGAAGTATTGGTATTATTTATTCTAATTTGAAGTCACATTGAAGAGTACATTCTTTTGGGTTGGCACACAAAAATGAGCGGTGGACTTATCTTTGTGCCATGTCAAGGTTTGTCATTTATTGACATGGTAAACGTTTTCATCAAAATATGTGTAGTTTTTGTTAAAAATTGTTAATCCTTTATTTTCTTTGGCATGATTTAGATTTGGCTTCTTTTTATGTTTTGACGACTACTTTTACCTTTTTCTTGTACTGCTAGTTTTCTAGTTTATTGGCATCAGAAGACGTCCTTCTGCTTTCTTTTTTAAACCTAGAGCGTATTCTCTGTCCAATGACGTATATTGGATAAACACTAAAGCTAGTGGCCAAATATCAGTTTATGATGTTGAGAAGGATGTTTTGTATGTGTGTGTGTATAAATTAAGAGACATTGTCATGAATCAGCAAACCACTCACTCAGGGATGACTGTGCAGAGGTAATATTGTTTTGATTGAGGGTAAATGAAAGGAAATGTTTATGGTAATGCATACCTTACTACTACATATAGAAAATTGCAGTTAAATTTCTGTGCTCATTAAAGGAAAAATTGATCAAAGGCTTTCAGTTTTGTAAATGGTGAAAATAGAATCATCTAATATGATATGTAAGTTCCTAAGACGTGCCATATGTGTTATATGTATGGTGTAATATGTATGAGACATATCTATTCCATCTTTCATGGAAGTTGTTTGAGCAGCTTACTTCAAAAATGAAATACTTCTACCGTTTAGACTTCCTCTTACTTTTATGTCTTGATACTCTTTTATGGTCCTTTTCTATGATAATACACGTGCTATTTCTCAAATAGTTCTCTTGCAGGTACATTTGATGTGGTAGTGGTGAACTTGTATCCTTTCTACAGCAAGGTGTCCTCTTCAAGCAAAATCTCTTTCGAGGATGGAATTGAGAACATTGATATTGGTGGCCCTGCCATGATTAGAGCTGCTGCCAAGGTTAGTTACTTCGTTTAGGATTTTCTTAATAAGAAATTGTGGCGGCCATTTAAAATAATGGGTATAATTTTCTGCGTCGAGAACCAACTGATATTATTTTCCTTAGTCTTGGGAATTATAGCACCCCTGTGAGCCTTAAATTCTTACTCGGAATGTGGTATTAGCTGGGTAATACAGCATTTTATTTTTTGGTGTAATATCAATTATGTATAGCATAAAATTGGATGAACCATGCATCAGTTACAGCATCTTCTGTGGCGAACTTATCACGATCTAGAATAGTCAGCAACTTCTTGAGTTGTACAAGCACATCATAATTTTTGGTATTTGTTCAAAATGGACAAAGTACTGTATTTTGACATTGTATGTGCCAGAAGACCAGCCTAAATTATACAATTTCTGTTCTTAAAAAAAAATCAATATCTATTGTAGTCATACACTTGTTTCATTTCAGCTTCCTACCAATGCCTATATAGAAAATGAGCTATTTTGCTGGTTCAGTAACACCTTAATTGGCTTCCAAATTTTAGTAACTCTATGACCAACAATTTAGAATGAGGCTAGCTTGGAAAGCTTTTCAGCATGTTGCTTCTTATGATTCTGCAGTTTCAGAATGGTTGTGGAAGCAGACCGGGGAAGGTAGTTGTATAGGTTTAATAATTTTTTTCAGAGCCAGAACAAATCAACATTTGCCAATGGCCAGTGCAAATGACAAGTGTTCAGTACCAAATTGAACTTCTAGGATAATGTTGATGACACAAGTCAATTCAAAAATGTAATCTAGATCAATCCCACACATCGGGCAATAGCCAATGTAAATTGACAAGGTTTTGATTACCAAATTGTACACCTTGAAAACTAAATTTAGGACAATAACACACATTAAAGACATTTTTTATGTCCTGATTCTCATGAGTTATATTCTAACAATTGGAATTTATTATGTCTTTGAAGATAAATTTCCTCCAAGCCTCACGGTGCCTCTATCCCTCAAGAGTTCACTTCGTTATGGTGAAAACCCTCATCAAAAGGCTGCATTTTACGTAGACAGGTCTCTTTCTGAGGTTAATGCTGGTGGTATTGCAACTGCTATTCAACACCATGGAAAGGTATGGCTCTAAATCATAGCTTATAACCATATTTACTTTCAGATATGCTTGTATGATGTATCATAATGTCTGTCTGCAAGTGTTGCAAGTGCATCTACATTTGTCAATGATCATTTCACATGGCACAAGTTTTTAGGTAGAAGTTGAAGAGTGGTATTTTTTGTTTAATCTTCCAATTATTTGTTGTGATGCATGACATGCAGTGATACACTTGGCATGTGTTTTGGCTTCATACATATGAAATATATGGAAGTATTGTTTTATTAAAGGTTAGTTTGGAAAGAGGTATTGAAGGATTTAGACGCTATATGCTTGTTGGGGATACCTTGAAAATGAGATGAAGACACCCTATTCCTAAGAAAGGGAAGAAAAGATAAAATCCTTGCCTGATTATGTTCTTTCATTTCCTTGGTTCTATATCTATAATGGAACATCCTGGCATTGGTCTTGTTGAAGTGTGCAGAAACCAAATTGGTCCTACCTATGGATAGGGGTCAGTGAAGATTAAATTTCAATTATGCATTTTGTCTTGCATTGTATTGTATTTACCATATCTCTCATGAAGTTTTGAATCCCAATGGTCCTTGTCTATGGATAGAGTACAGAGATTAAATTTAAATTATGTATTTCGTCTTGCATCTGTTCTATTTTCTAAATTTGTTTTGAAGTACGATAAGTCACAATATGCGCATCACTAGCTCTAATCATATTTCTAGGGCGTGGAATTAGAATGCAATGTGTTCAGGTCCTACAATAGCTTTTGTTCATAATGCTTTTCTAATATCTGTTTTTTGTTGTTTTTAGAATTTTCAATTTTTTGTAGCATCAGACTAAGATTCTCTCTTACTTACTATATGACGATTGGTTTTTAATTGTAGCATGACAATACAGACTACCTTTTAGTTCATCTGATTCTTTTTTGCAGGAGATGTCATATAATAATTATTTAGATGCTGATGCAGCTTGGAACTGTGTTTGTGAGTTTAGTAAGCCAACATGCGTGATTGTGAAGCACACAAATCCTTGTGGAGTAGCATCACGTGAAAATATTATTGAAGCATACAGGTTAGCTGTGAGAGCTGATCCAGTTAGTGCTTTTGGTGGTATAGTTGCATTCAATGTTGAAGTTGATGAGGTAAGATTAGTCGTTTGATCTTTTATTATTAACACAGAGAATGTAGTCTAATTGCCTGGTAGACCTTCTAGAGTTATGAGCTCTGGAGAATGCCTGGCATATTGGGCGAAGAAAGTTTACTTTTTAAGTTACTAATCAATAAATATGTAATTTAAAAATATTACTTATGAATAAGTAAATTTTAAAATAAATATTTTTTCTTGTTGATCAAAATTGAGAATAAGCTAGTTATATATTTAATTTAAGAAAATGAATTTATCGAAACATATGCGAAAATAAAAAGTTATGCAACTTTTTCGTGGTTTTAAACTTGGCTAAACATGCTTTTAATACCTAGAAATTAAATAGAGATGTAGCGTCATTGAATGTTAATTTTCTTTATAGTGAAGCCTGGTCTTTGAAAGGGGCAGAAACTATTGTTCATAGTTTAGCTTTTCATGTTTTGATTTGTTTGACAGGCTATTGCAAAGGACATTCGAGAATTTAGGAGTCCAACTGATGGTGAAACTCGGATGTTTTATGAAATTGTTGTTGCACCTAAGTACTCTAAGAGGGGGCTCGAGATTCTCCGAGGAAAGTCGAAGACTTTGAGAATCCTCGAGGCAACTAAAAATAGTAAAGGAAAACTCTCCCTCAGACAAGTTGGTGGGGGTTGGTTAGCTCAGGATGCAGATGATCTAACCCCAGAAGATATCCAGTTTAATGTTGTTTCCAGTAAGGCTCCACAAGAAAGCGAGCTTAGTGATGCACAATTTGCATGGCTGTGTGTAAAGCATGTGAAGAGCAATGCTATTGTTATTGCAAAGGTTAGTGTTTCTTATACAATCCTTTTTTTCCTGTCAGAAAGATATTTGATTGTGTTCTGACTTGCAGAAAGTATTTCTAACTTTCACGCTGTCTACAGAATAATTGTATGCTAGGTATGGGAAGTGGGCAACCGAACCGTCTTGAGAGTTTGAGGATAGCATTGAGGAAAGCAGGGAATGAAGTCAAGGGAGCTGCTTTGGCCAGTGATGCTTTCTTTCCATTTGGTAATTACTGTCCTCCAAAACAGAAAATATGATCAGTTTTCTGCTATAGAAATGTTACTGCTAAGTTGTTACACGCAAGACGACCTCAATTCCTTCTACTAATATTTATAAGATCACAAATTGAACATGTGATATATAATAAGGTAAAAATGAATAACATAGCCATTCCACGGATGAAAGGAGAAGGCAAGAGGAGAGAAACAAATTAAAGGAAGACTTTTGTAGTTGAAGCCAACACTTTAATAGGAAGACTTGAAGTTAAGAGAGAGAAAAGATGGGAAGGCAATGAAAATATAGAAACTGAAGGCATTTGTTAATGGAAGCAAATAGTTTAATTGGAAGAATGTTTGTGCATCCGTCGCATTTTGTCAAATAGGGAGCCAAATAATGCTAAAATTTGTTGAATCTGACCTGGCCTTTTCTTTTTCTTTTGTTTT